TCAGCAATCCCATTCCAGGCCAGACCTCTTGCATTATTTTCTTTCTTCTACTAGACTTGTAGAGCTTCTGCAAAGTGCTGCCAAGTCTGAGAAGAAGGACAAGAAATTGCCCAGTGTAGCGTTCGATTTGCTGCAGGTTTCACTGAAGGAAAATGCCTTTGAACTGTTCTGGGAAGAAGGTGTGGAGAATGGGCTATTGAAAGAAAAATCAGGACCTTCGAGGTTTGTTTTAATGTATTATCCTTCTCTTTCTTGTGCTGGTCTTTCTGCTGCCCTGTGGTAGGGTGGAACATATAGTTTCTCTTGAAGAATGTGAGAATACTTGCTTTTGTTGTTTAGGTATTCATGAAAAACTTTACAGGGAGCCTAAATTCTAAGATTCCTCTTTGAATTGTGACATACAACGAATTTGAGATTAAATTTAACTAGGACTGCGCATAAAGATGACTTAAATCTACAGGTTGCTTCTACAGGACTTGTCAGAGGAACTGTCCTGTCCCTTGCTTTCTGAGTGGTTGGGAAGGAGAGTCATTTGGCTTGCTTTGTGTGGTTTAAGGACAGCTCCTGTGTAGGCAAACCCTAGTTCTGAAATTCATGTCTAATACTGCTGGACTCGTGCTTTTGTGGAATGGGCTGAATTAAATCCTGGATATGTTTGGATTCTGACATGGTCTGTGTTTTTAAGTAGGATATGGCTGTGGCTGACCGTAACAGTAGCTATTTCAGCTCCTTTTCCCAGTCTAATACTAGATCTTAGTAGGATTATTTGTCTGTTCAGACTCATGCTGTATAAAATGCTGCAAAATCCAGAATACAAATCTCTGAGCATTTTGGGGACCACAGTTTAATTTATGTGATAGGAAGAGGCAGCCTGTGGCCTGGTTTAAATCCTTCTTATATCAACAGTTTAAAAGGTGTAGAGGTGCACCTACAAGAAATCTTCTTAACATATTACATGAGTATCGCAGTGAAAGTAAACTGTTTTCCAAGCTTGAGCAGTTTAAGTCTTGTACATGTCTTGGGTAAGTCTGAAAATAGCCTTTGTATGCTCAACAGTGTTGCTTTTTTAGGCTGATTTCCTGCAGAAATGAGGCTAATGATGTCCATCTAATGACTCCTGACCCCATTAGGCAATTCTGATCAAATTTCACAGCAAGTTGCTGTGAAAACTAAATAAGCTACTGTCAAAATGAAGTAAAACTGCATAGGCAAAAACTGTAAGTAAGTTTTTATTAGGCTTATGGAAATATCTGGGGAGAAGAGATCCATGAAGTAGATTGAGGAAGGAGCTGCTGGTAAGGACTCATCTCTTTCTAGACAGTGGAGGACCTGCTACAGGGGCAGACCTTGGCAGCTGTGCTAGACAGAAGAAAAACTTCAGGCAGCAGGATTTTTAAACACAGGATCCATGACTTCTTAACTTCTGTCTTCTTGCATGCGCAGTGTAGCCTGCCCTACCACTGCTTCCCTGTCTTATACTGCTCTGCCTCTAGCTGAGGGAATCTTCTTTGTTCCCACTCAGTTACATGTGCTACCGGTTGCTGGGTAGTGCTCTGCCCTTGCTGTCTCTGGATCAGCTGCAGATGGTTCTTAAAGGGAAGGTGATGCAGCACTATGGAGAACATGTGGTTACAACTCAGGTAAGTCTTCTGAAAGTACTCGTTCTCAGGGATGAATACCCCTATCCTGAGTAGAAGCCCTTTGTGCTCCCCTTTCTAGTTGTCTTGTATAAAAAAGTTTGTGTAATTTTAAGCCTTAGACTCTTAGTAAAAGTATGGTTATTGTGTCACCACTGATCACAGTAGGCTGAGTACAGACTGTGTTTGTCATTGTTGACTTGTGTGTTTTTCATTCAGGCTTATTTTAAGGGTTTTGAAATGGTTCAGCACTGACCCACCTCCTTTCATTGATGGTGCTGAGAAAGCTCTGACGTTGGGGGAAGCAGGGGAAGGGCAGCCCTCAGTTTATTGACAGTGTAATCTGTCAGCCTTTAACAGCCCTTTTCATTTTGGATGTCTGGAAGCTCCTTTTTGTCTGTCATTGTGCTGGGTGTTGCATGAACATTTGAAGGCAAAGACAAAAAGTGACAGCTTATGCTTTTGCTTATGTTAGTGGTTGTTTCAAAAAGCACATCCAAGGTTTAAGCACAAATTTTATATGGGAATTGGATTTTGTAACTCCTCTTCCTACTTCCCTCCCAGCAATCTAGCAAACAACACAGCCCTGCAATAAAGGGGGAAAGAAAAAAAGGGCAATAGGGGTAAAAACAGGCTTGGGCTTGGCTTTTCGTGGCAACGTAATCCAGAGCCTCCTCATATGGGCCCTAAAACTTACTGCTCTCTCTTGGGAAGAATAGGTCTTTTCAGCCTTTCTGTTCTGATGTCAAAACAGCAATAGATGTGTGGGTTTACTCCAAAAATAATGCTTACCATGGTGCTTCCCTGTATGGACCAACTTTCTCCAGGGTTTATCCACTGACTTAGTTTGTTTTTTGCTTTTTCTGCTTGTTGCTTAGTGAATTAGGCTGTATTCTTCCATGTGCCTCAGAAATGTGTTAATTGAATTTGTTCATTTAATTCCTGTCTGAAATCCACTAAAGACACAATTGACTAAATGGAAGGAGGAACCCCTAATGTGGTTGATGCTGAGGAAGTAGGAAAGATCTTAGTTTGAATTTATTGGCGGTGTTTTTGTGAGTTTCTTGTTTTCCTTGACATGGGTGATTTGTTTTGGAAAGCAAATACACTTGTACCTTCTTACCTGGTTATTGTTGGAGATGGAACTAGACAAAGCTTGAGTCTGGTATTTACTGACAGTTATCTTCATGAACCCACTTTTTTCCAACAAGGGAGCAAAAGTACTTGATTTGCTTTTGTTGAAAGATGATTGATGAAACCCCTGTTGTTGAGTTACTGTTTACAGCTGTTTCTCCTGGAGTTTTCATACTGATGCACAAGTATTAAGCTCTCCAACAGTGGAAGCAGGAGCTTGCTAAGTTGTGTTTTGTGTGTGATTTCTTAGAAGGATTTTTATGTTATAGTTGGATGGATCTGTAGTTAATTAGGACTTTGTAGCCCTTTTAAATAAAAGAACAGTGTTCCTTAGACTTCCATTACTGTTTCTGCTCCTGCCAGGTTGCTGTATTGATTGTGACACTGTACCAAACAAATTGTCTGCTCTCTTCGGGGTTTCTTCAGTTATGCTTTTGTGTTGGTTTTTTTGTTTCGCCCGGAATAAATAAGTGGAATTGAACACTATGAACTATGAAGGAAATGGGATGTGCGGTGAGATAGGACATGTTTTGGCGGTCTGCATGCTGCTGGGCAGTGTTCCCAACTGATCAGTGGCAGCACTGAAGACAGGGCTTAGCATAAAACAGCAACACCTCAGGATATGGTTTTTACATTAATGCGTCAACTCATCCTTTCAGAATGCCTCAACACTTCTGAGACACCAGGGAGAGAAGGTGGGATTTGTTGTACCCACTGTAGGACAGCAGGGTCCAGGGCTGCAAGAGGAGACTAGAATTAATGTGGGGGAGTTTCCAAATCGAGGGAAAACCTGAGGCAGGTGATGTGAGCCCTGGGCTTTGACCCAGAGTAAGAGCTGATCACCCATGGGAGCTTAGCTGCACTGGCCAACATACAGTCCAGCCACTGAAGCCTGACTGTTTGGGAAGGTGCAAGTTACAGGATTGAAGTTGGTGCATTACAGGATTCTGTGGTCTGTCCTATGTGAGGAAGACCACGAGGGGAAACTGATGACTTGGTGGATGCCTTATGACAAATGTTCAGGCAGATGACTTTAATTTACTTACTGCAGTCAAATCTGTGAAGTGATTTGTACTTACCAAGACACTCATAGTCAGTGTGAGGTTCCTAACCTGCTTGTTTAACTGCATTTTTCAGCTTCCAGACCGATTTAAGTTTGCTCCAGAGATGGAAGGATATATAGAGGAATTCCTGAGCAGCTGTGATGACTCAGAGAGACAGCTGACAGTGATGATCGGCTTCTCTACTCTAACCAATCAAGGCAATCCAGTATTCTCCAGCTCGTCCAGAGTGGTGAGACACCTGCAGCCAGTGGTGTTGCAACAATACGTTGGCTGGCTCAAAGACATGTTCCTCAGACCAGACTTTGACTGTTGTTTAGACTTCTGCAGTAATCGGCAAAAACAGAACCAGGAAAACGCAAACGTGTGAGTATGAGAATGATGCACCTTGTTCTTTCTGTTTTGTGGTTAGAGTAGCTGCCTTTGTTAAGTCTGCTTTGGATAGCTAATGTTGTTAGCTGAATAGCCACAACTTAGTGCTGTGGGTGCTGGGTTACTTGCAGGGTTTTTTTCCAAAGATGTAAGCTGTTAAAACAATATATCTGTGTGTGACTTGTGCTGCTATAACCTCACTCTGCTGACTCCTGCAGTTGTCGAAGTGCTTTTTTGCTGAACTGTAGTACCTCAGCTGGGTAAATAGACTCTTTGGTGTAGTAAGAAGCAAACTTGGGAAGATTACATCTTTTTGTTTGTACCTGTTCCTTTCGCACTATGTAACTGCCATCTTTAGCGTAAAGCCTCTCTCTGAAAGTCGGCTCTTGCTGCAGTGGACTGTGCTTTGTGTTTATTTTGGGATAGTGTTCAAACTACTGACTCTATCCACTTCCTTCTTAAAGAGCACAACATAAGGTTGCTCGACTAAGAAAATGGATTATCCACCGACTTGCTAACATCATTGAAAGTACAGTGAAAAAAGAAGAGAGCCTTGTGATGGACATTTCCAGGTGAGAGCGCTTCAAATATGTCGTCTTAGCTCTACAGCAATATCGCAAGTAAACTGCCTCCAGGGCATTAGGCAAATTTAGTAATAGAAGTACTCTGTAACCTAAATCATTTGGGAGGCTAGGTTGTGTATTCAAAGTAGCTTCTGCAAACTTGGACAAATTATTGTCATAAATAGTTCAGGCATTTAAAAGCACCTTAATCCTATTTCTTTTGAGTAGATTTTAGGTTCCTGTCTACCTAGACTGCTTGAAGATCCCACTTGTAACTTTGCATCAGATCTTAATAAGTATTTATCTGTCAGTTTAAGAGTCTTGCAGCATATGACCCAGAAGTCCGAGTATTGTGTTGTGTGGCCTGAAGTGTAGGCACTTTTGTGAAGTCCTGAGCATTCTTCTCTTTACTTTGTATATGCTGAGGAAAGGGTCTTACTGTAAAAAGTGACTTTTTTTAGGGCTTGAACATCCTTGAATAAAAATGTGACTGTGGTGCTCTTTGTTTTGCTCACATGGGTTGGTTTTGCTTTGTTATGACTGGAGCTGGCTCTTAATTTTGTTCTTACTTCTGTTCATTCTAGGTTTTGCTTCTTTCATGCTTTCTTTGAGGCTAAGAAAAAGACTTCCCAAATAAATGAGGCAAATGTTCTTCCAGCAGAGCCCCTAGATGAACAGGCTCATTCAGTGGCAGAAAACTACTTCTTTGGGTAAGGAATTTGTTTGCATGCTTTATGCTTGGAAATTTCTCTTTTTTTTATCCTGAGGGTAAGATATTATTCCTCAGGAATAATAGGGCAAGACGTGTGCAATCGTGAGCTGGTATTGGAGCATTTGTCTAATTCCAGGACCAGGGAATGGCTTTGCTGCCTTTCTTTTCTTCCTTTTTTTTTTCTTCTTTTTTTTTTTTTTAAGGAGATCCTAGACGTATTTTCCAAAGATCCTTAAGTTTTGTCCAATCAAAGCATAATTTTGCATGGCAAACCTGCTTGAATGTCTGTGTGTGATAATCAGGTAGGTGTAGAGTTGAGTTTAGACTGCTTTTTCTTATTAGATTACCACTGCCTGTGTTGCAAGGTAGCAGTGGAAGGACCCAGGAGGGAGGTGGTGAGGTCGTGTGAGTTGCTGTTGGCTTTCTGTCTGCTCTGAATGCAAGCTGCTCATGGCTCTGCAGTTCTCCCTGTACTAAGGGAGATGGAGTTGGTGTAATAGATGCTTCTGCATCAGTAGAGGGAAAGCAGAGGACATGGTTGGATACAGAATGAAACAACTGAGAATAATAGCGTGCTTGGGGACACCAGGGCAATGAACTGTACGTTACTGTGCTTGGATACATGCGCGGCTTGAAGCTTAGGCCATATGAATCTGGGTTGCAGTGAGTGACCAGAGTGCTGTGATGAGAGTGCTCTACTGGTGGGCATTATTTTGGAAAGTGTGAGAAGGCCATCTGATTCAATGGCAGAAACGTGCTGTCTGGTTTTCTTTGCAGGTTACTTCAGACTTTAAACACCATGACCGTTTTGGGGGATACAGCAAAGGCTGCAGCCTTGCGGGAGAAACACATCCATGGTGTTACTGCAGATGGGAAGCTCTGGATCTTTCTCCTTGTTGAGTATGCCAACAAGCTGCTCTCCAGTGAACATGTCAAAGCTGTGAAGCCTTTTACCAAGGAACAGAGGGATGCCTGGGAGAGGTGAGAGGCTTGGAAAGCTGGGTGCTGCATTGGTGAGATGAGGAACATGGAAAAGCCCTAATCTTAGTCTCTTTTTAGGCCATTGTATTCTCTCCTGCTGTTGTTCTGGCTGCTGTAGGAGAGCCATTTCACAGGCAGTGGCAGTTCTATTTCTTCCCTTTGAGTATCCTGCACATGTGGCTGGGTTTCAGGATGCCTTTCTTTTGCTCATCACCACGCTCCTTTTTTCCTGTTCCTTCTGTGTTTAACTATGTGCAGGTGGCCATGTCCTATTTCTGCTCATAGTCCCTCTCCCAAACATGATTGTAACTCTGCTTATCTTCTCCTAATAATACCTCTACTAACTTCTCAGAGACTCTTTTCTGGTGCTCTTTTCTGAGCTTGATTTTCTGTAACAGTCTGTGTCTGGCCTGTAGCATTAGGAATCTAACCTGTGCACAACTGCAGGGTGTTTTCTAAGCATCATCACATAATGAGATGGTGGTGTTGGGTTAAGATGGGGTACTATGTGTGTGTCCAATTTCAGTAAATTAAATTTTTAAGTACAGAAAATGGTACTATAGATTTGGTCATGCTTTTAGTCTGATAATAAGAGAGGATTTGCTGTTGTAATTGTGAGAGACTCAGAGGGGTTTCTTTCTTCAGAACACTTCAGTCTGTGAAGAAGCTGCAGAAGGAAAATAAATCAGATAGTGCCAAAGTTGTTGCTTTCCAGCAACTTCTGCTTTTAATGGCTATTCATCTTTTCAAGGTAAGACCTCTGAAGCATATTTGAGTGGTGTAAAATGTGCTGATAGCTGAGCTTTCTGAACACCGAGCTGGAGATTTTCTTTGTGATCAGAGATCCAATCTTTCACAGCCTCTGCCTTCTGCAATTGAGCAGCTGGCAGCTAATAAACTGTGATTTTTACACTAACTGTAGACATCACCTTACAGGTGAAAAGCTTGGCCTGAACATTATTTTTCCTTTTGATTTGCTGCTCAGTGGAGCAATTTTTACTTTCATATTTTGTTCTGTAAAGGGGTTGTCGTAACTGATTTTAATATCTGTAGCTATTTAGAGAGGTTCTTAGATTTGGCATGTGTTCCTTCTGTTGCTGTTGGTAGTGGGTAATTCAGAAGAGGGTGTTTACTGTTTGCTTGTGATCAAACAGAATCAGTCTGAAACAATGGATGTTCTGAGCGACCTTCTGAACTGCACAGAGAGGGCATTCAGCAAAGAATCTAAGAAGAAGAAGACTGGTGAGTCCTTCCTATAGAAAGCGGTGGAGTGGGATTGTTAACAGTCTGTCAAAAGACAGGAGATGGCAGTCCTGCATTAGTGAAGCACTCCTGCATCAGTTCTGGCTTGATGCATTTATCCTCAAGAGAATCCTCTCTCCTTCATTCTCTTTTCTTGTCTTCTCTTGCTTCAGCTCTCTACCCTCATCCTCAGTGGGTTGTGTTCCTGTGTGTCTCATAAAGGACAGGTGAGCTTCAGAGCTGGCCATTGTTCAGATGAGCAGTGTCCAATGGAGTTCACTCTTTTTGAGTCCTTGTTCTGTATTGGGCAAGAGCTTGACTGAAGTGGTGGTATGTCCCCAGGCAAAGCTGTGGGCTCTCCTAACAGCCGGCAGGTCTGAAACTTGGTTTTTTCAGACCTCAAGTTCTGGGCAAGCTAAATGTGTCCTGTGTGTAGATATGGCCTATTTGCTAACTTAATGAGTCCTTGCTTAGGGCCTGTGGAGTTAGGCTGGCACTTGACTTGGAAGGAACCTGGCTTGGTCCTTTTGACTCTCTCTTTAACTATGGTCTTGTTCTCCTGAAATCTTCATGTAAATATGAGGTTGCTCTGAAAAGAAAAGCTGTAATTCTATGGTGGTTTGGTTGTATGTAGATCAGGATTCCCAAACTTTTGCATTAATGGACCAGTTTCAAATGTCAGCACTTTTCATGAGCTGCCGTGACTCCTGATTTCATTGGCAACTCTGAAATGTGTATACTTCTCCTGACCAGCTGCTGGTTGCTTTAATGTGGTTGTGTGATTTGCAGAAGCACTCATCTAAGTAATGATTTAATGGATTGATACCTGGTAAAGCTTTTTGCAGTGGCCTAAAGACAATTCCAGGCATGTTTCTCCCTACAGTTAATGGTCTTAAAATACAGCTAAAACCTTTAGCTTCACACTTGGTTATTTCTGGTCTGTGCTGCTGAATGACTACTTCTGGCAGTCAGCTAGATGGTCGTCTTTTTTCCTGGATGATTTTCTCTGTAGTCTCTTACTGATGTTCCAGTGCAGTGGGTTTACCCCTTCCTGACATTGTTTGTTTGTTCCTGCGCAGACAACACAGAGCCAGGATGGGTCGAGGTGATGGTGGAAATCCTTCTCTCCCTCCTTGCCCAGCCAAGCCTACTCATACGTCGGATTTCCAAGAGCGTGTTTGTACGGATATGCCCTAATCTGACCAAGAGGGGCTTGCAGCTGATCCTGGATGTAAGTGAGGCACTAGTAGGGCATTGTACCATTTGCCTGTCTTGTCCCTAGCAAATATACAAGTATGTCTCTAGTTTGGGATTGAATAAAAAGTCTCCTTGATTTAAAAGATGTCTAATAGTTTGCTGCTGAGTTTTAAATGTAGCTTACAGAGAGTTGTTTTTTGGTTTTGTTTTTAACGGAGCCTGGGATCTGCTAACTTTAAGTTAGATTCTTTGGTAGTTTGAGGCTGAAGAAATTCCCAGGTCACTTTATATAGCTGATAGTTTTTATATGTGAGTATACATGGCAACAATTTCTTTCTTCTGGAAAGGCTAAGCATAGTGGTGCTAAAAATAAGTGACACTGAAAATCTAAATTTGTCATACCACTGAGTAAGGTGCTGTCTTCTGAGAGCAGTGTATGGATTGCAAAGATGTGCAGTCAGGTACTTTATATGATGAACCTAATACTTCATTTGTGACAATCAAACTGTGTGTCACCAACCTGTTCAGTTTTCTCCACCTTTTTTGTTTACTTACAGAAAGAGCTTAGCAAACATGATATTATAAGCCAGAAAATTGAATGCCCTTAATTACTATTTCATTATTCAATTGGCTGGCTTACTGTCTGTTGTACACAAGAAATGTGTCCAAACAAAACACTGAAAACCCCACATGTCCCTCTTTTTTGCAGGTTCTTGACCCATACCAAGAGCAAAATGAAGAAAGTGCTGTTGTTGTGATGGAAGAATCAGACAAGAAGATCAAATCTGCACAGGACACGGTAATTGTGCCATTGCCAGTGACAAAAACTCTTCAAACTGTCCTGATGTGTGGTAATAGGCTGGATTGTATTTCTCTGTCTAGAGTAAAATGGCTATTGCTGTATTAAGATATATTTTTAAAGTGTAACACACAAATAGCCTGTTGGAAGTGCATGTTTCTTAGACTTCTGTCCTTGAAGGACAATGCTGTTGTAGATATGACTGTTTGAATAGATGTCTTTCTGAGAAGAAATGACTGGCTCAGAAAGTTGGGGCTGTTCAGCCTGGAGAAGAGGAGCTGCATGGAGACTTCATAGCAGCCTTCCAGTATCTGAAGGGTGCTACAAGGATGCTGGAGATGGACTCTCCATTAGGGACTGTAGTGATAGGCCAAGGGGTGATGGGTTCAAACTTAAACAGGGAAAGTTCAGGGTAGATATAAGGAAGAAGTTCTTAACTGTGAGAATGGTGAGGCCCTGGCAGAGGTTGCCCAGAGAAGTGGTAAATGCTTCATCCCTGGCAGTGTTCAAGCCCAGGTTGGACAGAACCTTGGGTGACATGGTCTAGTGAAAGGTGTCCCTGCCATGGGACAGGATTGGAACTAGGTGATCATAAGGTCCTTTCAAACCCAAACCATCCTATGATTCTTGGCTGCAGTCTGAAATTGGCACAGGCCTCTCCTTTTTGCAGCCACAGACTGAATTGTTGCTGTGATGTGCAGCCGTCTGAATGCAAGATCTCAGGTTTTCAGCACTGCGGAGATTCAAGTCCCAAAGCATTACAATCATTAGCAAAAAGGAAAGTCAGATGGGGGCTGTAACTTCAGATGTTCCTTGGAAGCTTCTTTTTGATACTCATTTAATATGACAGAGAACTCTGTATTCTGTTCTGCTTTTAGCTCTTGTGAAGTTCTGGCATCTTATTAACTGAGGTGTCTTCCCTTGACTGTGAGGGCTGCAAGCAAGGCAGTGGGGTGAGGGGAGGCTTGAGTTTTTATTTCTGAACAGTGACACACCTGAGAATCAAGTAGTGCTTAAAGAATGGTGGGCTCAGGAGATGCACTTTTCTTCCTCAGGACGAGGAAGGAAATGAGGACTCTTCAGATGAAGGTGACTCTGAGAGTGACAGTGGAGATGAGGAAAAGAATGAAGAAGTCGATGATGATTTTCGCAGTCAGCTGATGAATGTTCTTCAAGCAGGGAATGCATTGGTATGTTTTCACTGGCTGACTTGATAGATAAACCAGGAGGTTTGGGGTGGTGAAGATGAGTTAATAATACCCACATCCTATCTGAGCCCATGTAGTGACAACCCTGGCAGTCATCTTTGTATGGCATTTGAAGCAGGAGGTTAGGATCTTCAAAGCAAGCTGTGGGAATAAGTAATTTGTTCTTTTATATATTGTTAATAAGTCTTGAGTGCTTCAGCTGGTCTGGTATAGCCCGATAGAGCTTGTACTCCTGCCTGTAGTAAATGAAGCTGATGTGGACTAAAGTACTTGAGATGCTGTTACATGCTGCCTGTGTTACCTGGCCTCTGTGGAGGCCAGATCCCTGTAGGCCACTCTGGAGACTTCCTGTAGCACTGCAGGAGTGTGGCTTAACGCTTTTTACAGAGAGTCATTGCTGTTGTAATATAGCAGCATATTAACCTCTTTACTGAAGGAGCAACAGCACAGAGGAGTCAGTATCAAAACCTCAGCCTTTTCCCTCTCCTGATCCTCTAGCTCTACCTGTTAATACTGTGCAGCCAGGCTTACCTGATAGGAAATATGAACTAGATTACTCATGGGTCTGAACATGT